ATCTCTACATAAAAGTCAAGTTTAATCCTACAGCTACATATGGCCTCAACCTGCATCAATAAGGTTGCCCTACATTGTAGATTCTTGCATTAGGAGAATACACAGTCTATGAGAGAATTCCAGCTGAGGCGTCTTTATATTGCACCACAAAGCAAATTTTTCTTGCCAAAGAACCGCAGAATTACTGATCTTTTCATATTGGACAACACAAGCTTTTGTCAGTTCACCTGTTTCCAAAAGACTGTGGATGTAAACTTCACGTTGCATTTTGTTTGAACACAGTGATGCAATGTGGCGGTATCCACACAGATAAAACTATTCTCAACTTTGAGGCAAGTACTTGTTACTAATGGAGTGAAGAAAACTATTAATTGACATAAGATAGGGTGTTTGTTCATGCAATTTATAAAGGAGGCATGAGAAAGACCTAACAAACATTTTCAGTTACAGGTTTCAAGTTGGCCCTGTCATCATAACTTGCACATCCCCTGAGTATCTCCCATGCAACCATATGTCCACTAGTGTTCAGCTGCCAACTACAAGGTGATGCGTAGTGAGCGAATTTCTTTTTATGCTGACTGGGCTTAAGTTGTGTTCTGTTCTCACAGATTCCCTCATCACATTTTCCCCTCCATTTGCCCATCAACAATTCCTCACCATTTAAATGTGTCTGAAATAAAAGGTCTTAACCTACATACCTTGTAGGCCGTGCTGTTTGAAGAATCCACAATGACAAAAAGAGGCTTCCGGGTGAAAGGGAATAAGTCTCCGGGATGAAGGCTGCAATATGCCAAGCAAATGTAACTCAGCAAACCCTCAGTGAGATTCTGCACTTTTCAAGTAACATAGATAGATTCTTAGTAAGCTCTGTCACACATTATGACTTATGTAAACATATATAGAGTCAGGCTTTCAGCACGAAAGCCTGAAAGTCATTTACTTATTAGTAAAAGTAATAGGTAAAATCACTTCCTCTGATTTTGGTTTAGATGCTGTCAACTGAATAAACAAAGCAAAATTAGAAGTATTGCTAGGAAATTCTCACCAATGCATTTCCTTCTGGGCCTGATTCCTCTTCTGCACCGTCTCTCCATTCACCACATCTCGATTTGTATTCGTGAGAACTCCTCCAAAATCATATGGTCCTGTGGGAAAGGGTTAGACGCTTCTTTGGTCTAACTCGAAAAGACTGTATCGGTCATAAATATGCATTGCTAATGCTTGGTAGAAGCCACTGTCCACAACATCTTCAACCACCTGAGGTACAAATTCACCAGCATTCCAAGAGAGGCTAAGTATACTGAGTCTGAACAGACCTTGTTCTGCATTAGGGATGAGACTTGCGAACCGGTTCCCAGTAGTTCAATTTCTTTTAATTGTTAGTGTCCTTGCCTATCGATCCTGCTTAACGGTTTCATTTGCACTTGCTGTAAACAGCTGATTTCAGTTGTATATTGTTAAATGGTAATTATAAGACAATGCATTTCAGGTCATTTTAAAGTGAAATGCAAAACTAATGTAACAAGTAGTGTAACAAATTACTTTCTCCTGGGAAAAAAATTAAGTAATGCACTATATTACTGTTAATTGTAATAAACTTTAAATAATGACCCCCAACCCCAATCATAACATAGAGGGGAAATACCTATATGTCTTTGATATACTGCTTAGCAATGGAGGTGACTCTCAAAACTGAGCCAATGGGGACTCACTGAGAATTGATAAGGAACCAAATAGTTAAATGAAGTTGAAAACAGAATCAGAATTGCTAAATTCTTATCAATTCCCATCCATATTCTAGATCTCCTTTGTTGCGGCTGCCACATGAGGATGTGGTGGCAAAGTGATTGGTGCCTGGTGTGGTGGTAATCCATGAAGGGAGCCATCAAGCTGAAAAAGGAGTCCTGTTGGGCTTGATTAGCCTGTAACACATTGGAGGCAGCTGATGTCAGCAGGCCGAGCAGAACAAACTGTGGTGTGGGAGCGGCGAAGCCATGGAAAAAGATTTTTGGATGGACAAACCGTGAGGCGACTCA